GGGAGTAGGCGTTCTGCCAAATATCGAGGTCCTAAACCATTTAGTCAGCATTAATACTTTGAAGTCAATGCGGAACCGAATGGGCAGCCAGTGCAGCGTGGCCAGAATAGGAGAAATATGTTGGAATTTTCTCGCTCCGCTAAGGAGTCTGACCACCGCATTCTGCACCATTTGGAGTTTCCGCATCAGCCTCAAAGGCAGCCCCACGTAGAGCGTGTTACAGTGATCTAATCTTGAGATTACGAGCACATGCACCAAGGTAGTGAGTGCCCCCACATCGAGATAGGGTCGCAGCCGGGCTATCCACCAAAGGTGGTAGAAGGCAGTGCAGACCACCGACGCCACTTGCGTTTCCATCGTGAGCGCCGGGTCCAGATGGATCCCCAGACTGTGGACCCCATTCTTTGCGGCCAGGGTCACCCCCCCTTGAATGAGAGTCACCCAGACCGCCAACAGTGGGGGCACCCACCCTCAGAACCTCCGTCTTGTCCAGGTTCAGCCTCATGATTAATATCATGAGGCATTAAAAATGGGAAAGGGTGTTAATGGGAACAACCTAATATGTATGTTAAATGTTAACAATTACGGGTTTTGAAACAAGTTGCATAATGAATTTAAAAAGAAACCTCCCTATTCAAACAACCTCTTTCATGGCTACTTTCAACAAGAAAAGAGGAGAGATTCTACTTAATAACCTTGCCTCAACATTTATTTTTAAAATGCTAAACATTAGATTCCATGGTGGTGTACAAAAGCCATAAATAAAATTACTTGCAGAAAACCACAACAGAAATGTAACTACCTTAATTACAGAACCACAAACCAAAAGGCCAAATAAACTCAAAGACCATTCATGGTAACCACCCAGAGTGGCCAAAAGGGTGGCATATAAAAGGAAGGAAGGGATGGACTTACTAAATGAAATAACATCAGCCACCCCACAGGCTTTTATTCTGATGTCTACATGTTTAAAACAGGAGTACACACAGAAACATCGCTCTGGAGCTCTCGATGCACCTGGCGGGGAGCCCCACTGCACACCTTCCTAATTAAGTGGAGAGCCTCTGCATGTCCCATATTAAGTACCACTAATTGTGTTTTAATTTTCAACTGGAATTAACTTAGTTAACAAAGAAAATCTTGCTTTACAGTCAGTTTTATAAAACACTAGTAAGATTTGTGGTGCATTCTGATATATAATGAATCCGTTCACTAACTAGGGTCACATAACTCAAAGATAGGGAAGTGATTTGAAGTGTTTCTGCTACAACTTCATCTAATTATTCATTAAATATAAGATAGCAATGAGTCACTCCTTTGGAATGCAATGTTTTCAGCAATGATTTTAAGTCTAAAAGTAAGATTACCTTTTTTTTTTACTGAAGTTAGACAACATCGAAATGGCCTTTAATGAACTGATTTTAATTCACAGCGCTACAAACGTGTGTGTGTGTGTATTTTGCTCAACTAAGTTTTGAAGTCCTTTGCTAATGATTAAATGCTTGACTCTGTACAGATTATTTAAACTTCCCAGGACTCAGGACTTCTGTTATGTTAAAGAACAGTGTTTTCAGGTGGCTCTATTTTAACACAGGAATAAAAGTTATCAAATGCAGCGTAATATTTTTACAACAAAGCAACACAGGGTAGAACCATAGAACCATATAAAATATGGTTCTAAGCAATAACTGAAATATGAAAAGAAGTGGAGGACAGATAACAAATTGGTTTCCTTGCTGCTTTTGTTCTGTATAGAATAATTTGAACAACCATAGAATATGGCACACTTTCAGAATATTCTTGACAACAGACAAATATGGAAGAAAAATCTGTAGGTTTATACAAGACTGTATGACGGGACTTCAGAAGTCATGCTACCACTTGCTTCTATTTCAACAACATCCCTTTTAATTTTTCATGCATTCACTGTGATTTCTATGACAGTGATTGTCACCTGCAGCAACAGAAATAGGAACCTCACAAAGAAATGTTTACTCATACAATCAAGTGCCGAACAAAATACAGGAACAACCTTTTCCTACTGTCCTCTCTTTCCTAATTAGGCAGCACTGTAAGGGACTGATGAGACATCCTGCCAAAGCATTTACAGTACAAAAGACTATTTTGATTGGCTGTTATTCAGAGTCACTGCCTACTGAAGCCACAAACCCATGTATGGGATATACTGGGATGCATATAGTACTCATGCTATTTTTCCTCTGCAAAGAGAAAATTAGATGCAAGAAAAGAACCAGGACCCTTGCTCTTAACCTGCTTGTTCTCTGTATGAAGAAACCTGTTTTGCACTGAGAAATATTCCATGATGTAAGCCTCACCAGCAGCAGAATGTGATACAGCCTTGACAGCAATTCACTGCTTCAGTGAGAACTAGGTTCTGCCCTGCTTGATCACTCTCAGCTGTATTCAAGCAACAATACAACTACCCTTAGATTATCTCTGGGAGGTATGTGCAGTTCAAAAGCTCTGATCATACCTCGCCTGTGATCTGCCTTTCGATTGCTACCACACACTTTGACAACTTATTACGTGCAGAGCTTGTTTCTTCCACAGAGAACACAGATGGGCTTTCTTGCCTCACAAGCCAAACAAAACAAATACAGAAAAAGGCTAAAACATACAGGGCAACTCCAGGCCAGTGTGCAATGTTGTATTTTTTACTGTAGGAGGAGAGTGCCGTCCGTCATCCATGTCTTGCTCTGTGCACTGTGCCTCTCCGTGGATGACTGCCAGTCCTAGCCGCAGCCGCTCAGCGTAAGACTGGGCCCTACATAAAAATAACAGCATATTAGAGGTGCTCAAAAACCTCTTCCAATAAACAAAACAAAACAATTTTCTTTGTTTAGCTTCTATGTGCTTTATACAGCTAAGCAAATAAATTTCTGTATCTATTTGCTTTTCGCCAACAGTTAATGCTTAATAATCATTTAACAACTATTGCTAATCAAAGGATCATAGAATAATGGAGTTGGAAGAGGCCTATAAGGCCATCGAGTCCAACCCTTTGCTTGAGGCTGGAATCCAAATCAAAGCAGATCTAACAGAGGGTTGTCCAGATTTCTCTTGAATGCCTCCAGCACTGGAGCACTCATCACCTCCCAAGGTAATTGGTTCCATTGTTGTGCTACTCTAACAGTTAGGTTTTAGACAAAATCTGGCTTGAGCCTATTATGATGTATCCTGTACTCTGCGATGATCGAAAACAGATCCTGCCCCTCCTCCGTATGACTATCTTTCAAGTATTTGAAAAGTGCTATCAGATCTCCCCCAGTCTTCTTTTCTTAATCTACTGTTTTAGCAGAACTACTCCAATTCACATTCAGCAAAGTTCAGCTTAATATGAAGGCAAGATGCTGTTTTTTCTGGATGTGCTGCAAAGACTAGCATGAAATGACATTTTCCCTATCAATAACTAGGGAGAGAAAGATAAGCTGATGTTATCATTTCTATTAATGTCTGAGAAAATGTCTTCATAGGCTTCCCTCTTTGTGACAACCTCAAAGTATCTATAGATATTAGCCATACCAAACAGATCCAAAAACAAACAAAAACAACCTATGACAAAGGGGGAATAAAGTGAAAATATTTCAGAGTGATTAAACCTATTAGCCCAAATTGTATCAGGCATTTTTGTTAAGGTTATTGTGGATTTTTCGGGCTCTTTAGCCATGTTCTGAAAGTTGTTCTTCGTAATGTTTCACCAGTCTCTGTGGCCGGCATCTTCAGAGGACTGGAGTCAGAACTGTACTCTGGTGAGTAATTTTTGTTAAGGTTGCATCTCAGGGTGCATCTCTGTTGAGCTTGCAGCCAAAGTTCACCCCTTTGTCAGTCACAATTACCTAGGTCAATTTACCCAAATTTTATGCAGACACCAACAGGTATACTTTTTAAAAATGTAATTCAAATGCATTTTTGAAGACCAGACCAAAGTTATTGCAAACTCTTAAATGTATAAACCTGTGTCTTATTGTGGTAATGACTAGGTATCATACTGTTCTTTTGTATGGTCTTTTCTTCTTTGCTCTCAAAACAAGGTTAAAGGTCTTATTAAATTGTTAACCATACACACATTTTTATTTTGTAATGGCAAGCTATTATCATATATATTTGTGCATTTTATTTTCCCTGTGTAAATGGCAAAAAGTCTAGACTATATAAATCCAATATAGTAAAAAAAAAAAGGGGGAGACTAATGCCCAAAGCACTGAGGACCAGTAATGAACAGCTCTAGTTTAGATGGTTTAGCTTCTAGACAGAGTTTAGGCAGGATTTGCTAGAGTCCATTGTTAAAGTCTATCTTTCTGGCAGTCAATGGTACAATGGTGCCCCGCTTAACAGTTACCCCGCTCCACAACGAATTTGCTTAATGATGAGGTTTTTGCTATTGCAATAGCAATGTTTAAATAGGGAAAATCCGCTTGACGATGATCAGTTCCCTGCTTCGGGAACTGATTTTTCACTTTACAATGATCAAAACAGCTGATCGTCGGGTTTTCAAAATGGCTCCCTGCTGTATAGGCATCGGGTTTTCAAAATGGCTCCCCGCTGTATAGGGCTTTACAGGCACCGGGAAATGGCCGCCCTATGAAGGATCTTTGCTGGACACTGAGGTATTTCGCCCATTGGAATGCATTGAGTGGTTTTCAATGCATTTCAATGGGCTTTTTACTTTTGCTTGACAACGATTTCGTTCTACAGCGATTTTGCTGGAACGGATTATTGTCGTCAAGTGAGGCACCACTGTATCTGTAAAGTTCCCCTGCAACACCACATGTTGAATTGGTCCATTCATTTCCCGCCTGCTTCTTTCATTTTCCACCTTTCATATCTGTACCTAACAATGCTAACGTATGTATCATCTTGGCAATAGCCTTCTCAGGTAGGGACTGGGCAAACCCCTCTATAGAGATGGTTATCCAACAATGTGCAGAGGTACACGCCTTTTAAACATTAAACCTGCCAGGGAAAGTGTTAAAACAATATTTCCGTGGCAATTCTATAAATATTAGTCCTAGAGTCACGCCTATGAATTTACACTATAAACATTTCTGGTTATCCTCTCTGCTCACAGACGAGCTCTCCAGTGGTGGGTAGGAAAAGTATTCCCACTGGTATTTAGAGAAAGTAGGCTACACAGCCTCCACACATCCCTCCTTGGGGTTCCTGGTACACCTCTGGGGAAAGGAACCGTGGGCATGTCTCTCTGCTGTGCCAGAAACAAGCATTCGCCACTGTTTCCTAGCACAGTCATTTCTCCCAACAGACAAATATATTTTGCAGACATGGAATATTTATTCATATCAGAACTAAATTGCAGATACCTCTTTGCAGCATCTGGACTCTTGGCTACAATTACTGCATTTCTGTAATCAGGAATCTACAGAAAAGAGAAAAGGATGTGAGATTTTAAAGCAGCAGAGCAACTCCATTAACTTAGCACAGTTTGAACGAATTGGTCTTCTATTCATCAGAATATCCTTTTTAATGTAATAATAAAAGCTGAGAGAAACACTGTCACCAACCCCAAAACACAGTGGACACAGCCCTCATTCACCTTAAATTAATTTCTAAATAATTTAATACTATCGCTGAACTCAGCACTGCAAAGTATTTACATTTTGATACCTCATTCATGAATTTCGGCAGATCCTATCTCAGGAACAACTAAAAACATGTAGGTGTAAATAAGCTTTATCAGGCAACCACAAGCTGGGATTAAACCTATTAATTTATACAAATCATTTATCTGAAATAAGAACTGTCCCCCTGTTTCAATCTACTAAAGTGCTGCCCATGAACTGTCCAAGTCTAAGTTGATTCTAGCATGTATTTCCTATGCAGGCAAAGCAGAGCTATCAAAAGGCACATCCATGCTTTGCTCTACAGGACAAACAGCAGTGCTGGGGAGTGGGATGATGCTAATCAGGTAAATGTCATGTAGGAAAGGGGTGTGCTTCTCTTTCCATCCCTACCAGCACTGAAGTGCTAATCTGGATCAACTCCATCCCTGACTGCTCTCCATAATTAAAAAAACCTTACGAGTTTGGTTTATTACTGGGTGTGACGTCCCAGTAATAAACCAAACAAGGAGAACAGTAAAATACTTTGGGATATTTTGATAAAGTTATGTAGTAAGGTTGGCTAAGAAGAACATTATGCTAATTTAGAATTAGGCAGTACTTTATTTAGTCCAATGAAAATGCCACAGAAGCAAACCTATAAGTTTACATTAGACTAGATGGTACCAAAAAAAGGAGTGTGAGGGCAAAAAACTCATAGACAATGCTTCCCAGATCCTGCTAAGAATTGAGCCTCCTGACAGCATTATTCTTAGCTTCCCTGACACGCTCAAACTCTCTTGCCCCATTAAGGTGCGATCCAAGAGAACGTAAACAGCAGATCATTAGACCGCTGGTAAAGAGTTTCCTAATGTACACTAATGGGATTCTCTCCACCACGAGAGAAGTTGTACATATTTTGTTGCTTCATGTACATATTTTGTTGCTTCATGAGTATGAGCAATTCCAAACATCAGTCTTAAATTATGACTTAAATACTGAAATTACTTCACCTCTTCCTGTATATACTGAAGCAAGAAAGGCGATGCCCTTAAGTTATCAACAGGAAAGCTGAAAAAACCTTGGATTTCTTTTTGATGTAGGTCCATAGTGATGATGTGGGTTAAACCTAAAAAGGGCACAGATTAAAGTCACTGAGTTCAAAGGCAAAAGAAGACATAAATCATGTTCAAGCACCTGAACTGTGTATCAAAATATTAGAGGCTTACAAAGCATCTCATTTACATTTATTAATTCCTTAGAGTAACTGATCTCTCAGGTTGGGGAAAACATGCATGGTATACATTCTTATGCACTATGGGATACAGATACTGTACTTTCATCACATACAAAATGTGGCTAACACTGGTCTTTGTCACTAAAACACAAATTCAGAACACAGCAAAAGACTTTAACATGGTGCTCTCTGCTAATATTTTCATAAACACTCAGTCAAGGTACATTCTGATTCTGAGGACAGACACGCAGACGTGACTGGTGTCAAGGTTCAAGGTTCTCAGACAACAATCCTTATGTGAACCTGGTCACCTTAGTTATCACTCTCATATGTTCTAATAAACATCTAACTCTCAAATACATGTCTGGCCTAACATCCAAAACAGGTTAATAAACAAAAACAGATGTTGCTTTTTTATTGATTTCCTTTCCTTTCATGTTTCCTCCATATAATGCCAAAGGAGAAGCCCATAGTCCCACCCCTTTTCTCCCTACAGCAAATTTGTGACATAGGAAGATAGCAACTTACACCAAATTAGTCTGCAAGTTTGCTACCTTTTCAACATTTGTGAATACTTTCATAGTTACTCAAATTTGCTGCCTTCTTTATAACAAGTGTTTCTTCCTGCAAAAATGAAATATGTTCTTTTAGCAGGAGGGGAGATCCCTCCAAAGATAGTAAATCCTTGTAACTTCTTTGGGGGGGTGAAACTAGGTACTATTAAGCACAGCTGTAGAGGCACAATATTATTTCTCACTCACCTGCTTTAGCCAACATGGAAGCAAGAAGTTTGCAGACTATTGAGCCCCTCTTCCTCATTTTGCTTTGTTTGCTGTATGGGAAGTAAGGAATTACTCCAATGATATTTCTGGCACAGGAGGTCTTCAGTGCATAAGCCATAATCAATAGTTCCATCACGGCAGTGTTGACATCTCTGAAACAATTTAAAATATGAGTCAGTCATCCGTCTTCGACTGAGGTTCCAGAAACAGCAACCTCGAAGACAAAAAGAGTGCCATCCCAAATACCATAACTAATTTTTTAAAGTCCTCCATTTCTTAGCATTTTAGTGGGATTGCTAAAAAGGAAGTTAACAACATCAAGCCAGCCAGAGAAAGAGTGTGTACTCCATTACCTGATTTCTATAATCCTTAACCTAAATATACTCACTTTTGAAACATGTTCTAAAATGCACTTTTGGTCTGTATAAGGCTCCATTAACCCGATTCATGCTCCCCTTGTACTAACAGTAATCCTGACATGAACCTATAATGCTTCGCAATATAAACTCATTCAAAGACAGACACACAAGTTTTCCTTAGCAACCAGATCAGTTTAGAAGAGGTTTTCCAAGGATTAGGTCTGAAAACCACTTAACATACCTGACACACTGTCATAAGGGAGAAACAGTATTAGAAGCACTATTTAGAGAGAGAAAATTGATAGTACGGAGAAACATGTCTCCTCCTACCAGCCACAAATTACCTGTGGTAAGGTTTTTTTCCCCCCATGCATTCCTGGCAAAGTGAGAACAATTTAAACATCATTGGAACAAAAAACGGTTTTGTTGCTTTTATAAGAATGAATGCTTTTGCCCAGAGCTTGGAAGTATCGCTGAAAAGTCAATGTGTTCACATTACTTTTTCAGAAAGCGAGTCCACTAGTTGTAACTGCTCAGCAGCATTATTTGCCGGTAGTGTACTACCAGTATCTGACTTTTTGATTGACACATAAAGTGCCTTTTAATGAAACAAGAAAATGTTCCCAATGGTACAAATTTTTCTGAAAAGACAAGATTTAGAGGTAATGAACAAGCACCAATCACAATCAATCCTCCCCAGAATCCTAACATTAACTTCCTTCACTACAGTGTTTATAAGAAACAACAGCAACCCCATCACTAAAAAATAATTTTAACAAGAATGAGCATCATTACTTTTAGCGTTTTACTTCCAAGCTTTGTGATTATCTATGGAAAATATATCTTCCCACAGCATTGGGAAAGTGCTGCCAAAGGAAAAGTGCTGCCAAAAAATTTATTATTATTAACCGCTTGTATCTTCCACCTAAAATGACTTTTTATTAAATTGAATTCTGATAAATATGATTTAAGTGAACAAAACTAAGGAAATATTGACCACAATCCTGTTGGTGCACAAGTTCAACTGCATCAATCACTACAATGAATTGCATCATTATGTGCCTGCGTGTGGCATAACTGGATACATGCCTCATAACAAGACAGCCATACTCAAAGCTAAGTTAAGATTTCTTAATTTTGGGTTAGAAAAGTGGGGGGGGGGCTGGGATGTCTTATACATGGGGCATCTCATACACGGAAAAATACACTAGTTAACATATATCACATACTGATGTGCATAAGCCTATACAGTTTTCATGTTATATATTTATATATGTAAATTATATCATTAGCTAACACTACATTCAACATATATTTATACACATATGATTTCACAGACAAGTGTATGAGGGACCATGGTAGCAGTGTTTGTAGGGGTCAGCCCAGCTAAGTCATCATGTGGTGAAAAGACATGAACAGATCCCATTATTTTTTTACACATGCTGAAGGTGTTATGTGGAGCTCTGTGTCTGGAAGCACGTAAGATAAACACTTTCAAATATAGTTCTTGATCAAGCTACTTTTTTTCTTTCATTTGCATGATGAGATTGGGATCATAAGCTTTCCTGGTTATCTGAGATAACCCTCAGTAGCCTTCTAATTCTAAATGATACGCTACTGATTCCACTTCAAGTTTTAACAAAGCTCTTTCATTCTTCTCACTGTAAACTTTCCATTAGAAAATAACTCCATTCATCTAGACATGCTGTCCAATGTTCCTTGGGCTGTTCTGTCTTCTACCTACAGCACACTGCACTGATGTATTGTTTTATACAAAAGAAAGCTTTGTTCACCATCAAAGAAGTAGCCAAGGATTACATAAATCATTCCCACCTCCAAGTAATTAAGACAAAAAATTAACAATGCAGCAATTTCCCCTGTGGTTTAAGGTGGCAGAGGCTATAGAACAACCACCATGGTTTGCCAGTACTCTACATTTTGCAGACACTCTTTTCACCAGCTATTGACCAGTAGTTTTCCACTTTTAAATCCAAATGTTACAGCCAAATATGATCAAAGAATCAATATTCAACTTTTTGAGACTTCTTGAGAGGTAGTAACAAGGGGGAAGGGGAGATAGCAACATTCTAATTTCCTTGCATCATGAGACTATTGCCACCTAAGTTACTTCATCTGTACTTTCCCTACACATTCTGTAATCCTGCTGAACACCCATCATTCCAATCCAGCAACAGACTGATCTGTGGCAGTGATGCACACTGCCTTCAAGCAACCCAGTACAGAAGAGGGGCAATCTACTTTTGCTTTAAGGTTGATTCTTTATCACAAGTTACTAACCCAGATATGCGTTGGCAGACAAGCAACAAAACATGAGTGTGTTGCTAGGGAGAGCCAACAGCGTTTATGGGGCTTATCTGCAAGGCTGCATTACATACCTCCCCCATAAAAGGGCAGTATTATTCAGAATCTTCAACTGCCTAGATCAAGCAGCACCCATGAGCTGTTCTTGGTGTCTTCTACAAAATTTGACAAGAGCAGACCTCCTGGTACATTCCAGATAGAGAAGGAATAAAGCAAGAATCTGGATCTTCAACAATTACAATTTGAAGTGAATCCACAAAAAGCTGTTCAGAGAAAGAAAACTTACCTAGGGATTGTCTGAATAATGAACACATCTTGGCCTCTGACTGACTCTTTTATTTCAACCCTTGTTTCTGCAGAAAAAGCATAAATATTTAAACAGGATTCTCCCAAGTTAGTCCAAGGCAGTGTTTTTCAAATTGTGGACTGGAAGCTACTACTGGGCCTCCACATGCCTTTGTGCGGGCCTTTGTGCTGCAGCCCACCCCATCTCTCTGCCCCAGCTTTTTAACTGGAGCAGGACAAAGCCCAGTAGCTCATCACCTGTGCAAGGCAAAGGCACATATGGGAGAGCAATATTGTGGCATACAAAGTAGGAAAGGGGAAAAAAAGGAAAAAAGACATAGATGACAGACCACAATACCCATTCCATCTCTCTGGAATGGGACTTGGAGACGCTGTTTTATGGTGGCTCTGGTCCTTCCTGGAGAACTCAGAAGATGGTGTTCGGAGATACCTGTTTTGACACTCTGGCTGCTGGCCTGCAGGGCCCCTCAGGGCTCTGTTTCATCTTCTATGTTATTTAACAATGACATAAAACCACTGAAAGAGGTTGTTCAGAGCTTGGGGGTTTGGTGTCATCAATATGGAGATGACACCCAACTCTATCTCTCCTTGCCATCTACGGTAAATCTGAGGAGGCTGTTTCAGATCAACGTCTGGTGTCAGTGGTGGACTGGATGAGGGAGAATAAATTGAAACTTAATCCAGAAACTTAAGACAGAGGTGCTCCTGGTCTTAAAATTCTTAATCTATTTTGAGATCCTAATTTTTGCAAGGAGATCCAGCAGCTCAGATTTAGGTGTGTGGGGGGGGAACCTTAAATAGTCAAATAGTTAGAATGATTCTGGCCCAGTCAGGAATTCCCAGGACACTATAATACCTTACAATTGCAATGATTAAATGGGATGAGGAGGAGCAAAATATAAGTCACCTTGAACTCCTTTTAGAAGTTAGCTAAAATAAATGTAATAAATCAGTGATGTGGGTTTCCTAGAAAAAGTAGAACTGTAAAAATTTCCACTGCTCTAAATATTGTTATCTGATTTGCCATTTTTGTTTGAAAAGTGATATTCAAACACATCCAAAACTTAATGTGGAAATTATTTTAATTGAATGTTTGTAATAATGTAAAGAGAATAGAATAGATAGTACTTCCCTTACGTTAAGAAAAAATAACTGTTCTGAAAGAACACTATTGTTTTCTTCAGACACATATTGAAAGAGAGCTGTACCTGCTACATCATGAATCAACAGTATACATTTCTTTTGCCGAGATATAATTGTAGTACTTTCAACTTCACACACACACTCTCTCTCTCTCCACTACTTTAAATAAATAAAAAGGATAGCTGCCTAAAGGAGAGGAAAAGGAGAAACACCTAGTTCCATTTCAAGCTGAGAAAAATGCACAGCTAGTTGGGCATTCTATTTCACTAAAGGACGGGCATGAGTCTGTGGGCACAGGTAATTTATCACATTTTATCTTGACTGCTTGTACTTGTGACTGATTGAGAAGCAAGAGATTTTGTGAAAGAGAAATATGCTTAGTATGCTTAGTGTGTACATGTGTTAGTCTGTTGAGAAAAAAAATACACCATGTATAAGCCTGGACCAGACCCAGTCAGAAGCCAACTGCACTGTGCCCAGGAGAAGGTTGTCATACATGATTTTTCATGTCCCATGTGGGCAAATATATATACAATACAGTGGTGCCCCGCTTGACGACAATAATCTGTTCCAGGAAAATTGCTGTTAAGTGAAATCGTCGAAAAAAAAAAACCCCACTGGATTGCATTAAAAACCGGTTAATGTGTTCCAGTGGGGAAATACCTCATTGTCCAGCGAAGACTGCCCATAGAGAACCGCCAATAAGCTGTTTTAAATCGCTATCTTCTCTAGCAGGGGTCCGGAAAACAGCCATTTTGTGAAGGGAGGGAAGCCATTTTGCGGAGCTGGAAAAAACATCGTTTTGCGAACAAACGGTTCGCGAAGCAGAGACTTATTAAATGTAAAGCGGATTTTCCTCCAAAGGAACCAGCGATCGCTAAAAAGTCATCGTCAAGCGATTTTGACATCATGCGGGGTAATCGTCTAGCGGGGCACCACTGTACAGTATTTGCCCACATGGTACACGAAAAATCATGTATGACAATCTTCTCCTGGGCACAGTGCAGTCGGCTTCTGACTATATATGATGTGGAAATATTTCCATAGAAAAATCAAGCATTGGAAATTTTTCCATCCCACATCGCTTTGATAAATAAAAACGTTGCACAGGGTCACAGGATCACAGCATTGTAGAGCTGAGAGGGAAATCAAGGGTGATCAAACTCAATCCACCTCTGAAGCAGGAAATCCTCAATTAAAGAATCTCTGACAGGTGTCCTTCCAAGCCTCTATTTCAATAGAAAAAGAATAAATAATGTCTCCAAAGAGGAGCCTACCATCTTCCAAGGCAGTCCATCAAACAACTCCTATCAAGAAATTATTCCTAATGTTTAGGTAAAATGTCCTTTCTCATAATTTCAGTCCATACTTTGGAGCTCACCTTCTGGAGCAAAAGAAAACAAACTTGCTCCATCTTCTACATAACAGTCATTCAAACATTTAAAGACAGCTATTACAATGCCTCTCAGAAAAAAAATCTAGCAAACAATCATTAGATGGACTGCTAGAAAGCTCAGCGGCTAAAGGATCTGGCCGCAAAGCCAGAGACTGGGTGTTCGATTACCCACTGTGCCTGACAGGAGCTGCACTCAGTGATCCATAGCAGGAGTCCTCTGCCCCCCGGTCTGTGTGCTTCCCAGGACTGGGCCGTGGAGATGGATCTTGCCCCCCCCCACGCACAGTGGGTGTGTCACGCTCGCAGGCATGCGTGACACACCTCCCAGCACACGAAGCCTGCCCCTCAACCAGTCCACAGTTCAAAAAAGGACTGCTGATCCATAAGGTCCTTTCCACCTCTACAGTTATAAGATGATTGTAACGTTTACAAGCATAAAAACACAATGAGAAATCCACTAAAGCAGAACAACATATGGATAGAATAGTTTTGCCTAAGGCTCACCCACCCAATGAATTTTAACAAATTTGTTTCAGTAAAAATTAGTAGAAGTTCACAGCAGGGCTCATCACAATGTCTTTCCAAAAGCAGAAAACAGCAATGGGTTTATGAATAGAAACCATACTTGAGGCTTCAGAAATTAATGTTTTTTTAATTACAGAGGACTTCTCTGATAACTAGGCAAGGAAAATAGGCTAATCTGGAAGCATATTTCTTTTTGTGAGTATCTCAATGTCACACAGCAGAACTGCTTTGTACATAAATACATCTTTTTGTGAGTATCTCAATGTCACACAGAACTGCTTTGTACATACATGCCATACCACTTTTCAAGGTGAATAGCGGGTTATGTTGACTTTTATCTCATTCTTCTGTGAATTTTTTTCTAATTTATGACTTGCTGTTTTAATTAAGATTTTGCTATTTTATTGTAAGCCTCTCCTAAAGAATTTGCTGAAAAGCAGATACTGGCTTTTTTAAAACTCAAAAGTAAAAATCCTAACTTACCTCCATTTGTTTCCTGATATACCACAGATTTTCCAAGCTCGGCACCAAGACGCCTAGAGAGAGATTGCAAGCAGATTTAAATATTCAACAATAGCCCACTAACTTGGCATTATTCATCATGCATATGTCTTGTCCAAATTCAGCTCAGTACAGAGCTTAATACACCATGGATTAAGAACACAAGAAGCAGCTGTGCTGGATCAGATCAGAGGTATGTCTAACCCAACATTTTTTTCCAGAGTGGACAAACAGATAGTTTAAAAGGAACATCTCAAGTTGGTGGCTGTCGGTATATCTTATAGCAAAAAAATGCCATAATTCAACTGTACACTATCTTTTAGTCTATGTGCAGTATAAAGAAGTCTTTCATTCTGTTCGCTACTAAAACCTGCTCCCTGCTGCCAGAAAGATAGCTATTTATTCACTTCAAATATTTCAATCCTGTTTGTTAGATAAAAGAGTAGGGCTCTTGTATCTGCTGGATCAATATCCACTGATTCATTTATACACAGTCTAAAAATATTAAAAATATTACATGAAAATACCTATAGATTTTCAAGAGCTGGATTGGCTGGCAGGAGGAGGGGTGCTAATGATTTCAACTCAGCTCTTACTCATAGTGGGCCCATCAAGATACAAATTAGAGGTACAGTGGAGTCCTGGATGCAACAGACTGTTAGCTATAATCCGTGCTATTCAGTAGCCATGGGACAGCTTGGAACCGATCCCCCGCATATACAGGGGTCCTACTGCATTGCTGAAGGAACCACTTCGTACCATTTCCACTTACAGACAGCCCACTAAAAGGAAAACAACAAAAGGCAACCTTCAAGAGCCACACATTATGAGTTGTACTTTTCTAATCTGATAGCCTTTATTTATGTCTAACAACCATATGTATTTGATGTTCACTTGCAATACAGTTTTCTATTCTTCAGATAAAGCCAGCAGCACATTGCCAGGGCTTGGAAATGGTTATTTTTAGGCTAGAACTTGCAGAATTCCCCATCCGAAATTGTAGCTTGTCCGAACTCTAAACACTGTCTTACTTCTTCTCAGAACACAGTTGCTTCCTGATATGTCACAACCAGATATGCGCACAAAGCGGCAGTTCATGCCAGTTTGGCCAACAGCCCAACCGGTGTTCTGTGGTTTGGCACCCCAACCCTTCCAGCAGGCACCCATTCAGAGGCAGTGGCCTGGCTTCTCTGTCCCACCTTCTCTGGGTGCTGCCTCTGAGTGGCTACCCACTGGAAGGGGCAGGGTGCCAAACTACAGAACACTTGTTGGGCTGTTGGACAAACTGGCATGACCTTTTGGTTCACACCCATTTCTAGTCACAAACATGTAACACTGAAGAACATCAAACATCTCACAAACTGGGCTATAGGCCACAGGGGGATATATACAATAATAGATATAAGGTCATACAAGAACCTTATTTTGCTACTAACTAGCAAAACTAATCCTCTGGAAAATGAAACAACATGGCAAGAGAACAAGAGTCTTACCAACCTGGACTCTCCCTCCCAATTGTTCAGAAGCAACAATATACAGTGGTGCCTCGCTTGACGAGGATAATTCGTTCCGTTCAAATTGCTGTTAAGCTAAATCCTCGTCAAGTGAAATGAATAAGCCCATTGAAATGCATTGAAAACTGGTTCAATGCATTCCAATGGGCGAAATACCTCAGCGTCCACAGAAGATCCTCCATAGGGCGGCCATTTTCCGGTGCCTGTAATGAGAGGAATCCATCCTAAAGCACAGCGGGGAGCCATTTTGCACAGTGGGTGGCCATTTTGAAACCCGACGATCAGCTGTTTTTGATCATTATTAAGTGAAAAATCGGTTCCCGAAGCAGGGAACCGATCAACGTTAAGCAAAGAAAGCCCATTCAGTCATCGTTTAGCGATCGCAATAGCGATCGCAAAAAGCTAATCGTCAAGTGATTTCCTTGTCTAATGAGGTAATCGCCAAGCGAAGCACCACTGTACTGTCTTTTTGAATTCTACTGAATGTGGCACGTCTGCAGAGTATGACGTATTTTTCTGTGGGGTATGACTAGAGATGGGATATTCGTATGTCTCCCAGGGAAGACAAATCTGAATATCATCGCCACAGATGGCTGGGCCCTTTTGACCCTCCCCCCAGAACCAGCCTGGTCCACTTACCAGGCTCCGTGTGGTGAGCGTAGCTGACACAGGAAACATTGTGCCAATTATGGAAATAGCCCGGCCAGCACTTCCCCATGCTGATGTCCACCCCAGTGAGGAGGCGGGATGATGAGTCTCCCCGTTCAGCTGCCGAGTGGACAGAAGTGCATGCAGGGAGGTGCAGAAGAGCTGACTGGGCTACTTCCACAATTGGCACGATGTTTCTTATGTCAGCCGAGCATGCCACATGAAGCCTGGTAAGTGGACCGGGCTTATTCTGGCAGGAGGGCTAAAAGGGCCCAGCCACCTGTGGTGGTGATACCTGTATTCGTTTCCCCTGGGAGACGAATACAAATATCCTGGCTCTAAGTATGACACATTTTTCAATAAAAGCAATCACAGTAGAATACTGTCCAGTGAAATCCTAAGTCACTTCATGTTTTCTAGCAGGCTCGTTTGCTGTAACTACTTCATAATCACAGAGGTCAATGAACAGAAATGTGTCCATTAGCATGGATAGCCAAATAATCAACCAGCCTAGACTAAATGACTTCTGTACCAACTGCATTAAGGCAGGTGGGATTTCCAGACTCAATTCGAAGTACTGGCTTTAACTTTTAAAGCTTTAAACAGATTGGGTCCAAGTTATTTCAGAATGGCCTATAAATTTGTCCATGTGTTAAAAGCATCACTGGAGCACCTCCTTCCTAAACTATGACTAACATCTGTAAGGCTGATTGTACCAGAAACAGTCTTCTCAGTGGTGGCATCTCTTCTGAAGAATTCCCTTCCAAGATATAAGGATGGCTAGCCTGATCTGGTGCTGTTTTAAGGGGATTTTACAGACTCGATTTGTTTAGCATTAACTGAAAGTTATATTATATACCATCCTTTTGCTTGATTTAATTTCATTTTGAAGTTAATTTCTGATCTTAAGAATTTATAGAGCACCTTGAGATGGCTGTAGTTAAGACAGGTAAGAATTACATTACATAAAAATAAAAAAACTCAATAAAACATGTTCTGAATGTACATGTTTCTACATAGAATCCTAACAGGATTCATGAACCACTTCAGAAGTAGTTCAATTCCCACTACATCGATGTATTCGCAAAGTAGTTCAATTCCCACTACATCATTACATTCCTGATACCAGAATTACATCAAATGAGATACAGCTCTTCATAATAAGCCAACTCTAAGCAAATATTTATGCATTATTTACAAGATAAGTAATTATCTAATACAGAATTTAACTTCACCAGCTCTTTCAAATTCCACAGAATAACTCTCTGAACTAAGCCATTATGATCAGCTATTTTGCAGAGTATATGTTCTCTTTTTGTTTCTATAAAACTTCTACATTAAACCAGAACCTGATTCATTTGATTTTCATATTTTCATTATATATCAGCTGACTACCCATTCAACAGACTTGTTTCTCTATTTTCCCAGCCTTTATAGGATACGCAGACACAAAAGATTTCCATGTTTTGTACCCATCCTTTTGTTTAGACATCATCTGACAATGAACAAGGTAAAGCAGTGAGTGAAGTAGGAAAAATCCAGAAACTGCCCAAGTGGTCTGTTTAATGAAATAAAGAGCACACTGAACAATCCAGGATTATGTTTACTAATCACAGATCTGCCATACAAAGATATGGTATCCAAAGAAGACAAACATGTAACCCCTTAATCTTGCAGAATATGGCAAATCTATAGAAAGATATGGTCTACTATCCAACTTTACTCAAACCAACAGAAACTCTTCTATTGCTTCTTGAAAATACTGTTCTGCTGATTCTGAAGTTGTAGTTTATTCAGAAGAATTCTGAGTCCTCACAACTGTGAAAACTGGCGATCTAAGCAACGATGCAAGAAATCTGGCTTGCTGTGCACTAAGTTCAAATGGCAGGCTCCCTCAGGGCTAAGATTTATATTCAGAACAACTGCCTACAGTGTCTATGTAAACAGGGCTATAACAAACAAATCTCTCATTCATTTCCCTGACAACTCCTGTCACCTACAATCTCCCAAGAAACACATTCAGATTTGTTTTACCCAAATACACAACAAAGTTTCTGGTAAGGGAGAGAAAGAAGGCCATCTCTTCAATTTGTGGTATCTAGTATCTTGGTATCGTCCAGGGATGGGGACTCAAGTTGTGTGACTCATTGTCAAGTCAGACTTAAATCGCACCAGCAACCCAATTCAGACTCAACTCAGGGATTTTTTTTTTAAGACTCGAATCTGACTCGTGACTCAGAACCCACCCACTGCCTCCTCTTTTTTTCCTAGGGGGAAAAGCTTGTTTTCATTAGGAACTTGGACTTAGGGCTTGGGACTCAGGATTTGGTACCAACGATTCAGACTTGGGACTTGGACCCAAAGACTTGCCAACATCCTTGGCATCATCTCCAGGAATTCCATTATGTACAACACCTCAGAATAGTCAGTTTCAGAGTTCCATGCAAATCAGGGCAGGGTTTCTGATCATTTGATCTCCCTAATGACATTCAGTTGAATATGGTTACATTTGTGCTTCAGACCTTGTCCACAGCCAAAAAAAGGTTACAGATGTGGATGGGGAGACACACCAAAATGCAAGAGTATTTTCCCCTTTCTTGCAGTTCTGAATTGTGATGAGTAAATACACCATCATTTGAATGGTGAAAAGATGGGAGATATTCCTCGTTTCTTCAACTTTCATGACTTTCTCAGAAACTTCCTTGAGGTGTTCAGTTGTTCGTATTCCTGCTTGGTAAAGCTTTCGTCTGCCTCCCACCCAAAAAAGGAATTCTGTTTAGAACTGACACACATGAAAGACTTATTTTCCTTTGGAGGAGAATGGGAGCATGAGAAGTATTGCACACAGGAGGCAGTATGATCGTTCCACATCA